TCTCTCTCTCTCCTTCTCTTTCTCTAATAAACACTATCTAACTATCTATCTGTCTGTCTTTCTCTCTTTCTATGTCTATTGTTCCCCGCAATTTAATGCGAGATCTAATCGGGACCGCAAATTCCACCGATCACATGGCCGTCGTCGGTAACGCACAGTATGTTTCGCGCGTATTCGCGACACATAGTTTGAACAGAATCTGCCGACGCGAAACGCGGAGAAAGCGTCAGTCGAATGAGTTCCGCGATCGGCGAGCGAACGTTCGTGTGGTAACCGACGCGAATGAATGGCAGCTCACTGTAACGACGGTTTCGTTTCAGGCAACAAGGCCAACGGCCTCCTGCATCTGAAGAATGGCGTGGACTACATCAATCCCGGTGAAGAAGATCAAATGGAAATCTATGGGTAGGTCGCTCGCTCGCTTCGCCTTACGTCACATAATCGCAGGTGAGACCTCGTTGACTGCGCAAATTCGCTTAATCTCTATTTCCTTGTCACAGCTACAAGAGAAATCGCGCGCGCGTCATCATCACCTGGTTCCTCATCACTATCACCGGAGGTTTTCTCAGGCTGGTCTTCCACTGGGTGCCGCATTTTATGCTTGTGGCCACACATTCCAAATGCTCGTTAGAGGAAGCGGAAACTGTCTTGCTGATCGAGAGATTTCAAGGAAAACACACGAGTTATTACGTGAAGAAGCTGACTGTCTTAACCGCTCGGGGAGTTGCGTGAGTAATTTTCTTTTTTGTGCGCGATCCAACGTCGACAAGGTCGATATTGATAGCTATTCCATTTTTGCAGCAGGAAACCCTTCGACGGAGAATCTTTAATTGATAATGAACCATGGGCGGAAAATGCGATAACCGTCAAGGAGGACGACGGCAACGGACCAATGTTGTCTTTGCATCTTTGCGAGGGTCAATTTAAACGTAAGCGAATCGCCAACAAACCGTTATTTCAAGATTTTAAGTATAAAATTGTATTAACGAGATTATTTTCTCAGAGGTGTCGTCCATCGTCGTTTTCAATTGCAAGAAGTTGACTTACGTCTGGGACCCGGAAAGATCAGAATTTCTGAAGCTGCGCGGCCTTGATGTTGATGTCCTGACATCATCGTTGCATCAAATGCAAGGTCTCAGTTCTCAGGAACAATACATGAGGTAAGAGATTCGGTTAGTTCCTCATGACTCCTTTAACGGGAATTTTACGTCACAATATATCGATTAATACACGTTGACAAGTGAACTAATTGGATGACTTATACGCAGGCGTAGCGTTTATGGTAACAACGAGATCGTGATTCCCGTGAAGAGCATATGCACGTTGCTCTGCCTCGAAGTGCTTAACCCGTTCTACGTCTTCCAACTATTCAGCTTTTGTCTGTGGATCGCGGACGACTATTATTACTATGCCGTAGTCATCCTCATAATGTCAAGCGCTGGCGTCATAATGGCAGTTTTCCAGACGCGACACGTGAGTCATCTTGTCAATTTTATTTTTCTTGCTCATCATGTTTCGATTTTCTGATGATCAAGATTGTTCATTTTCGCAGAATCAGCAAAATCTACGATCGACGGTGTACTCGTCTGACGTCGCCACGGTCATGAGAGATCGTATGACTGGTCAGATCGAGACAGTGCCTGCCGAGCGTTTAGTGCCCGGTGATATCTTGGTTATTCCGTCTCATGGTTGTCTAATGCCCTGCGACGCTGTGTTGCTGACCGGCAATTGCATTCTGAATGAGTCCATGTTGACGGGCGAATCAGTGCCCGTCACGAAGACACCAGTTCCTTCCTCTAACGATATCATATACAATGCCAAAGAACATGCCAGACATACACTTTTCTGCGGTACCAGAGTCATTCAAACGAGATACTACGGGAGTGAAAAGGTAAATTCATCCTAAAGTCCACTAATTAATCTTAGAAGTCCACTTTTTTGAACTTAGATGGACTGCATTATTTTTCTTATTTTTGATGATTCTTTAATCTCGTGTGAATTTTAGGTTTTAGCGTTGGTCATTAGAACTGGTTTCAACACCAGCAAAGGCGGTTTGGTGAGATCCATCATGTATCCTCCACCCGTTGATTTTAAATTCGAGCAGGATTCCTACAAATTTGTCATGATGTTAGGGTGCATAGCTGGCATAGGCGTCATCTATACCATTATAACCAAAATAATAAGAAACATACAGCCCAGCCATATCACTTTGGAAGCATTGGATCTCATTACTATTGTGGTGCCACCGGCATTACCAGCAGCAATGACTGTCGGACGATTAGTAGCGCAACGTAGATTAGAGAAAAAGAAAATATACTGCACCAGTCCTAGGACAATCAACGTATCTGGCTCCATCGATTGTATTTGTTTTGATAAGACTGGAACGCTAACCGAGGACGGTTTGGACATGTGGGGTGTGGTGACGGTTTCAGATAGGAAATTCCAATTACCAGTGAAGGACATTGTTAGTCTACCGTTATCAGAAGCTCTTATCGGAATGGTTACGTGCCATGGAATTACTATAATCGATAATCAACTTGCGGGAGATCCTCTTGATCTAAAAATGTTTGAGTCCACCGGCTGGACATTGGAAGAACCTGATGTATCTGATACATCCAAATTTTCTATGCTCTTCCCGACCATCGTCAGGCCAGCGAAAGATTCTAAGTTGCTGAAAAAGATCCCCAATGATTTGTGCGACACCCTTAGTCGACAGAACTCAATGTCTTCCGATGTGATCGATGGTATATCGCTGAACAATCTCGATGCTGCGTTCGTCGGTTCCGCAACGGAATTGGGCGAACAGGGCTTGGAGGTGGGCATTGTTCGACAATTTCCTTTCACATCAACTCTCCAGAGAATGAGCGTGATCACTAGAACTTTAGGAGCGAATCATTACGATCTCTATTGCAAGGGTAGTCCCGAAATGATTCTTAGTCTGTCCAAAGCAGAATCCAGTAAGTCCTTATTCAGTACTTTATATAATAAAAATTATTATTACTATTAACATATTTATTATTATTAATATAAATATATATAATAAACATCTATTTATTATTATTAGTAATAATATATATGTCGTATATATTGCATTTTGTCTGATGCTCCACGATTCCGTAGCACATTTGGCCAAAAAACATCAACATTAATAACATTTTCTTCTTCTTTTCTCATATCTTCTTATTTTTACAGTTCCTCCAGATTTCGCAGCGGTTTTACAAGAGTATACGTCTGAGGGTTATCGAGTGATCGCTCTCGCGCATAAATCCTTGAACCGTCTTCCATATGCCAAGGTACAGCGCATGAATCGAGAGGCTGCTGAGATCGATTTGACCTTCCTAGGATTTGTAGTAATGGAAAATCGACTGAAGCCCGAGACGTCGCCAGTAATAGCAGCGTTGAATACTGCTTGTATCAAAACAATAATGGTGACGGGTGACAATATGCTAACTGCTCTCTCAGTAGCTAGAGACTGCAATATTGTGAAGCCAGGCACGCCGGTGATTGTGGTCTCGACGAACCAATATAATCAATTGAAACCGCAAATTTACTTCACAAAGAGCGACAGCCAACCGTCGCCTACTTCGCCGAATGGTCAGCCCGACCTCAGTGAAATGACCGACTTGAACAGCGTGGTCAGTTTGGAAACCGTGGAGAGTGGTTCCTTCGCTAACACCAAGCTGGAGAACGATATTGATTATTTGTCGAATGAGTAAGTGTCTTTTTTCATTATTATAAGATTCATTTTATTCCAATTTAATGTAGATTATATAACTTAAATATCTATTACGATTTAATTATCTCCATTTTTCTTTTTAGCGTACAATATTCCAAAAACAAATACGTGTTTGCGTTGACGGGAAAGACATGGGCAACAGTAAAACAACACTATCCCGATTTGATACCCAAGCTGGTCACCCGCGGCGCCATTTTTGCAAGAATGTCGCCCGACCAGAAACAACAATTGGTTCAAGAACTGCAGGCCTTAGGATATTATGTCGGTGTGTACACATCTCATTTAAAAGGATCCATCTTTAATTTCTTAAATCTTAACGATCTGACGGAAGCATTCTTGCTTACAGCCATGGTAGGAGACGGTGCTAACGATTGCGGTGCATTGAAAGCGGCGCACACAGGAATCTCCTTGTCAGACACAGAGTCATCAGTTGCGTCACCCTTTACTAGCCGCGAGACCAATATCTCTTGTGTGCTGACGGTGATACGTCAGGGTCGAGCCGCGTTGGTCACGTCCTTCGGCATTTTCAAGTACATGGCCGGTTACTCGCTCACGCAGTTCATCTCGGTGATGAACCTCTACAGCATCGACTCTAATCTGACGGACGTTCAATTTCTGTACATCGACCTCTTCATTATTTCTATATTCGCTTTCTTCTTCGGCCGCACCAAGGCATACGAGGGTCCGCTGGTGAAAACGCCGCCGCTCAACAGTCTCATTAGCACGTCACCGATATTCAGTTTGATTACGCAGATCGTGATAGTTGCTATCTTCCAGTACATGAGCTTTTGGCATCTGCAACAGATGCCATGGTTCGTACCGTTTAACTCAACTGCGCTGGAAGATAAAGATGATGTAGGCTGTTTGGAGAATTACACCATCTTCATCGTCAGCTCTATGCAGTACATCATCTTAGCGGTAGTGTTCTCCAAGGGACCGCCCTACAGGAAGTCGCTTTTCACCAATTATGGTCTGCTTACCTCATTCGTGTTTCTGAGTCTCTTCTCCGTCTATCTCGCGATATGTCCTTTCGAGTGGCTGGCCAATTGGTTCGAGCTCGTGATGCCCAAAGACCTCGTCTTTCGCTTCTTCCTGGTCGGCTACGGTATGGTGAACTTCGTGATCGCGTTGTTAATCGAGCGCTTCTTTGTGGAGTATCTCGTCTTCGGCAAGCTGCGTTACCATTGGCACGACGTGGATAAGTCCCGGCGAAAGTTCCTGGCGATCGAGCGCGATATGGCGAACGACCTCAAGTGGCCGCAGATCTCGCAGGAGCCATTGCCAGAGATCACGTCCAACATACCGATCCGTCAGAATGTTACCGAGATCAAGATCGAGAAGAGAATCGCCGAACCTTGCCACCCCGCCGACACCAGTTTTATGAACAGCTCGCCTGTTTGCGCCGGCTTCAAGCACTTCGGCTCCGCTCGCGAAGTCACCCTGAATCCTAGATCGCTTTTCGATCATTGCCGAAACACAGTGTCCATGCAGACGGTGCCCTGCTTCGAAGACACGGACTCATTGCCGAAGCAATCGAACGTGGAGCCTGTATCGAAGCGACGACACAACTCGGAATCGGAAAATGGTATCAATCGTTTCGAGAAACCCTTCATGAACCACAACACCAATCCTATCGCCACGTTACCTAGGAACCCCAACGCGACTCTCCAGCCGCAGAAACTTCAAAGAGACTTCAAGGATGTTCTGGTGCACAAGAGCGATGACCGGGTGTCACCTGGGAACACTCACAGCGTGCTCGAATTGGACATTCTGCCGTCCTGAGGATTGAAGCACTCAAAGGACCGATCGAATGGTAGCTGAACACAGCCGTGAGATCTTACGAAACGTTAATTAACTCGGAGTATTATTAGATTACTTGTAATCTCTCGTCACTCTGAACCGACGCGTTTGAAGCGTCGTTAGAGTGATAATCGCGAGACTGTGGACAGTTTCGCAATAGGCTCAGTGAATCCCGCGACTTTGCCACTTCAGACGCCAAACGCTGTACAATCTCGATCTCCCCTTCCATTCGCTACTTGTGATATCCAAGATATGTATTTGATATCGGTCGTCAACGTTTTAGTTTTATGTAAAGAGTCAGCAGCTCGTATTACGTCACCGATCAGACAAATCCGAGACGATGCATTTAGCCTGTCGCGGTGACTAACGATTCTTTAAAGTCATAGTTGGGAAATAACGCGTTACTTTCATTTTTGTTACTGTTGTTTCTTCTGAAGAACTTATTAAAAATGTCGTGTATTTTCTTTTTTCCTCTATATCAATAAGTGACGCGAATATATTTGTTTAAGCAACACAGCAACATAGAAACATTATTCTTATTTTTATGCACATGCAATATGGAATATTAAATATTGCTTGATTAACGATAACGGTAAAGGTAACGGTAAATGTAACGGGTTACATGTTAATTTTAAAAAGTAAATTTCCCAACTATATCAAGTTATATAAATGATACGAGTAATAAGAATAAGCCGAATGTAGGACTAAATTAAATTGAACCGGTAGAGAGCATACGTTGCTCTCTCTTTCTCTCTCTTTCTCTGTCTCTCTCTTTCTCTGTCTCTCTCTTTCTTTCTCTCTTTTCCTTTCTTTCTCTCAAGTTACACTTAGAAAGAATTAATGTGTCGCAATTAAGGTATTAATCAATTTCCCAGCCGGTGGGCCGTTCTAGCTTCGGCTTATTTTTTAATCACTGACTCAAGTCAGGGTCCCTCTTGACCTCTTTCGCACTCGTCCCTTTTTCCTTCGACCCTCGTTAGTATTCGAAAGCGACATGCTCGAGAGAAAGTATTATTGTTATTTATCTCTTAGGCCTATTTTACACGATCTATAATTCGCCACAGGGATTCTCCTCGTGATGCCATGCGCTGTGCAATACGGAAAGTTCTTTCAGATATTCACTCGCGTAGAGAATTTTGCCACGAATTCTGCCCCGAATTACAGATCGTCCGAAATGGATCTTAGATAGAAACGGAACAATTCTATATGAGAACTCCATTTAAGGGAGAATCTTCCACATGGAGCACCGCGCGAATTATATCTCAAGAATATATATATAGATATATATATATATAGATGTGTATTTATATCCTTACATAGACGTTGTCACATGAGGCTAGAGCGGAACGAAAGCTACTGTCTTTCCTCACACTGCGGTTCAAACGAATACTTAAACGAACTCGCATTCTTGATATGTGTCTCACGTTTTCACTCTCCGGATCACATCGCGTTTCCTCTGAATAAACAAAAATACTAAAATTAACTTTTCTTCCTCTCTTCCTCTCACTCTTTTTCTCTCTTTAGGCCGCTACTCATCCGAGCACTCATGTTCTCGTTTATCGCATTTTTTTATCTCTGAATTTTATTCGCATACGTTTGAGCAGCAAGATCAATTTACAAGACGTGCCTGTGCGTGTTGTATTTCGCGCGAAAATGACTTGGATATATAACAACTGCAGATAACAATCGAGTCACGATAGCAATTGATTCGTCGTTCCCGCTATCGCTCCTCTCGAGGATCATTCCACGATGGGAAATTGGATCATTAAACTAGAGACGATGTGACGATACAAAGGAATTGGTGGTTGCTGAGGGGAAGGGAAATGCGTATTACATATTGTATTTAATAATGTAACTATACCCTGAGTACTCTTCGCAATGTTAAAATAAAATAAGCGAGATACGTATTGTTAAAAGTAACTATCGAAATGAATGTGTACTTACAGAATGTATGCAACGCAAATAGATACTTAATCGCGTCGGTCTACTCGCGATGCTATAGCTTGTGTTGAGAAGTAGCGGTTGTCAAATAAAACATGTTTTTAATGTAAATATCGCTGGCTTATTTCACGTTAATATTTTCCTGGTTTCCTAGGGCGTTTTGTAATTATTACATGAACTCCACAAAACTAATAATTATCTTGAAATCGAATGAAGAGTATTTTGATTAACGTGAAATTGTGACACTCCCCGGAGAACAATTGATGAAATTGAAAAAGGGAATATTTATTAAGCGCAAATCTATACTTATATTATACACGCTTAATTTACAGCACTCATTTCGATAAAATTATTACATCACACTTGCGTCCATGGAAATGCTTATACAATACTGTGTTACATTTAATAGAGGACGTCATTTCTCTTTATATCTAACTGTGAAACGATAAGGAAAGGGAAAATTCGATATTACGTTTGCATCGAACGCGCCGCGTCGCGTCGCGAGATTTCACCTAAGTAATTTTTGCATTTATATAGGTAATAGGAATGGCTATAACTTCATTAAGTGTAGTCTTTAATTAAGAATCGTCCGCACTAGTTTCTCATTGAAACTTTCCCCGTTGCTGCGTCACGTCGGTCGTTCTCTCAGATGGGAACGCGGACCCTGAAGTCACTCTCTCGGCATGAAGTATTCCATACTTGAACTTTGTGTCATGCAAAGTCCGCGGCGAAAGCCCTCTGTTGACCCTGCTCACCGATCAACGCGCTACGAGTTTATGACATACGTGATCCAGTCGACAGTCTTGGCCACGCGATGATAGATCCCCGGTTGACCCGGTTGCGCGCAGGAATAACCGGCAGATACTATGCCGATCAAGTACCATCGACCGGTTTTCTCCAGCATCAACGGGCCGCCGCTGTCACCCTGAAAGAAAAGAAGTAATTCGCACTCTTGAGACGATGCATAACATGCGCGCAAAAGGGAGTGTGTGAAAGAGAGAGAGAGAGAGAGAGAGAGAGAGAGAGAGAGAGAGAGAGAGAGAGAGAGAGAGAGAGAGAGA